TGTGTGTGTGTGTGTGTGTGTGTGTGTGTGTGTGTGTGTGTGTGTGTGTTGAGCACTTTTGCACTGGGGGCCCTGCACACTTCCCTTCACTCCAAGTATGTCACAAGGTGTTTTCTGGTATGTAAGACCACTTACCTTTGCTCTGAACACAAACGGTTTTGCTGGGGTGTCTGGCTGCCGTCCCACTGCTGCATGCTTTGGTGGTTGCATGCACGCTCCCAGCCGTGCCCAGAGAAGCGAAACAAGATTTCAGGGCAGGCGTTGTTGAGTTGGCACCAAGAGAGCAAGGCAAGGTTTGCTTGTTGAGGGACGAGAGCCTGGGGAAGTAGAACAGGAGGGCTCTGAAGGCCAACTCCTCCAGAAGGAAAACCTTCTCATGCTTGGAGGGAGCTGTCTGTCTCTCCCCCTGGCACCATGCTGCGGCTCTGAGATAAGGCGCCCTCAGAGCGGCATTCGGCTTTGCTCGGGAGAACCCAGCATCCCAAAGCGACGTGCTGCTCTCTGCACCTATGCAAAATTGTAGCCTGCAAGTTAAAGCCAGCCCTTCCTGCGGGCCCCTCTGCTCTGCACAGGGCTTCTCCCCTTTGGGCTACGCTGATTTGATGAGATCTTCCCTGCTCCCTGGTGTCCAGTGGTTGCACTTTCGCGGTCTGTGTCACCTGAGTGTTGTCCAGTCCTGTGCCTCTCAGCATGCAGTTAGAGCCTGGTCAAGCGAGATTCCTCAGGAATGATTTATTAACTATAAGGTGGATATAGTGACATGTCTATAATAAATATATATAAAGGTTATAGTTCTCTGTAATGGAAGATGTGTGTGTAACTTGAAATCGGTGAGGCTGCTGCATCTGGTGTGCTGCTTCAGAGTCAGGAGTGAAGCCGTGGTAGAGATTGGCGTGTCCCCTGTAGCACCTTCTCTCTGGGGCTGTAAAGAGGATGCTTCATCTCTTGCTGTTCAGCAGTGTGGGCATGAGAGTTTGAAGGTCGCTGTTTTCTCAGTGCAGGGCGCCCGTGACAATTCATCAAGTGTTGCTGCTCTCCACGAGTGTCTTGTGAACACAAAGGGGAGAAAAAGATCTTCAGCTTCCCCACCCCCGCCCCGACCCCTTGCAAACTGAGATGCTTCACAAACGCAAGGAAACTTGAAATGCCCATGCACTGAGTGCAAAGTATGGCCCCCTCTCTCTCTGCAGTAAAAGTGAAACATCCCTTTTCAGCGTCCAGAGCGCCTGCCTGTGAAACAATTCCTGTTGCTGTCTGCAAGTGCACACCTGCCCGTAGATAGACCCCTTGTAGACGATCGAGTGCCAATGAGTGACCATCCTGACTGCATTTCTGCTTCCACCATGTTCCCACTGCGTGCCCTCCTCCCTCCTTCCCAGAGGCAGGAAAAGAGCGCTCTGCGTTGACTACTATCAGGTTGCTTTGTACAGTGTATGTAACTGCCATCCGCATAAATTTTATATGTACAATAATTTCCCTTTTATATGTCAGGTAAATATTTGTAAGAGTTATACTCACACAGATGAGATTATAATAAGGATTACTAATATATTTTTTCCATGTTTCATTGCCTGAATAAAAACTGTGTTTACCACTCGGGGATGCTTTTCACCTGCCTCTTTTTTGAGTAGGGGCCCGATTCAGGTGGGCGTGATGGTTACGCCACTCGTTCCAATGGGATTCCTCTGCCGTTCCACTCGTGGAAGTGGGCTCAGACTGCACTCCTACAAGTCAAAGCCAAACTGACCACGGAGGAACCCCAGACAGTGTTTTACAGCTCCTTATTGGTGCAAGACAACGTTCCTGTCCCCTGCGGGCAGCAGTAATGGCTTTCACAAGAGGGGCTGACCCAGGCAGTTTGCTGCTAGCTGATGGTGTGCCAGGCGCTTTGCGGAGACAAACTTCCAGCCTAAGAAGACTTGGTTGCGTGTCGTGATCAGGTTCCCTTCAAGGCTGGCTGTGGTGGGTGAGGTGAGTGAATAGCTGTTCCCGATTTCATCTTGAAGTTGCACTTTGGTATGTCAAGGGTCCCCCCCTCCCCTGCATGCAGCCACACGGGAAATGCCCTTGGAGCACTGCCTCCTGCCCTCCATGGCTAGGATGGTTTTAGCCACAAGCTGTGCACTAATAAGTACATGACCCTCAGCATTGATCACTTTGCACAAGTTTCTCTCTGAAACAAAGCAGAGGTGTCCCTGCCCTTCCACAGACCCCCTGGAAGCAACTGCTATGAAGACCATCCTGAACTGGTCACCTTCACATCCGTGGTAGTACCAAGTAAGTGCCACACAGTCGCGCCTGAGCTGTAACTGTGCTGCAGGTCGGGTCCCGTTACTCAGTTTCTGCAGTGCGATACCTTGCAACGTGCTGCCTCCCCAGCAGGGAAATTACTTTCTCTTTCTGAGACCGCCCAAAGGCGCCCAACCACGGCTTGCTTGAGAATCGGTTGCAAAATCCCCAGCAGGCCACCGAGGAACTCCACAACGAGCGTTTCCTTCCCCAGTGAGTTGGTGGCTGCTTTTTGCTTTGTCAGGGGCCCTGGGTTACTCAGACTCGCTCCAGGATTTTCGTTGCGGAGCGTGTTAGTTCTGAGTTATAAACGTAGCTTTTTGGAGAGCAACCTCTTTCCAACAGGAAGGCAGAGAAGCTGTTTTGCTCCTCGCTGTGCCGTATCTCGATGTACATTGCATGGCTAATATGCAGCTTTTAAGAGTCTCTTGGGGAGCGTTTGGTATAATCTGCTTCTTGTCAAACCAAAAACAGTGAGGCAAGCAGTCTAAGATGTAAGACTGGGCATTGGATGACCAGCCGTAGCCTAGCCAGCCTTTTCCCTTTGCCCGGCAGCTGC